TCTGGCCAGAATAGCCTGTCACATTTGCGTCTCATGTACCTACTTGAGTTCCTCATAAACGCTTTTGCCAAACTAGAGGATCGTGCTGTATGTCATGTGCTTACGTGCTTCGATGTTGATCTATTGTCTTGTGTTCCCTTGAAACGGTGGTTGATTTTCTCTTTTTGTAAAAATTACTACAAAAATCTGTTGTGCATTAGATTTACGAAAAATACTTTTATCAGTTTTCCGTGTTGTTGCTGCCGTCTTAGAAAAACTGTTCGTATATGGAAGCCGCTGCTGAATTGTAAGAAATAATAGTGCTTTAGATAGCTCTTCGAAAGTAGGACATATTGGATCTGTTACATAGGATACTTTAACGGCTTAAAAATTTGGATGATGTCATTTGGCGAATAAACTCTAATCTGTCAACTAATGTATCTTGTCCATTAGTAGCATAGTAAATGGTAGTCTTTGAATCTAAATTTAGAGGTTGTTTAGATGGAAAAACTAATAGTCTGTTTCTCACATATGTAACAAGTATGGAACTATTGAATAATAATGCGTTATTTGCGATTTAGCGCTTCAATATTTAATGGAACAATGTTAACAGACATCATCGGATGGCCATTATCAGCGATTTTCCGTTTCACAATTCTAATACTAATACATACAAAGAGGGTGATAAATGCCCCTAATCCGCACTTCCAAATTGGATAATGGTGTGTCATAAGTTTTTGTTTCTGGTGCTTTAGGATTAATAACACTTTGAGTTTTTTTTTCTGAATGACGATCAGTAAACCAACAACTGGAAATATGTGTCTTGATCATAAAACTTTTTATGAGACGAAAACCCATAAAATGATATATGATTCAGTATTGGATGTGCATGGGGCTGTCTTTTTCCAACGTTTAAACATTTAAAGAGATGTTTTAAAACATGATCGTAAGAAAATGAGAGCCCTCTAAGTTTTAACACCCTTTCTGTACCTTTTTCTATTACAGAACTAATGACGCGTTGCTGTTGATAAAGATATATTTTAAGAGAAAGTATATCGTGATAACCAAATTTAAAATTTTTAGTTTAAACTAAAAATTTAAAATTTGATTATCACGATACATTTTATATAAATTGATACATTTTTCACGAATGGTAAAAATGTATCAAGATAAAAATTTAACGGCTCGTTATCTAGTCTTAACGCAGATAACCAGAACAAAAAAGAAATGCTTCAGGCCTAAGAAAAGAAAAGTAATTCACATCATCATATACCATGGTCGCAACTACATCTCAGAAAAAACTGAATTTCGCAATGTACAAGTTTGTGACAATTTTGTCTATCATAAGTTATAAAGCTGTAAAAAAAAAAGCGTAAGTCTGTAACCATTGCGAGAACTGAGAAATCGTTATTTTATTTTACAGAACTAAGGAGCTAACATCGCAGTTTTTCAGCCATTTTGATCTAACTTTCAACAACTAGTTCCTGCTCAAAACTTAAAACTTTTTTATTTAAAAGAGCAATTTAAAATCTACAAGATATGAGAAAATCAAGTTTGCTTAATGACCAGCTTTTGAAAAAAAGTTTTCTGAAAAACTAACGGTTTCCCAGTCTTTACAGAGAAGTAAAGAACCTTAAAAATTCTTTGATTAGCTGGAAAAGGTGGAGCAAGCAATACGAGAGAACACACAAAATGAAACGCAAATTCTCCTAGATCTATCGGTGCGGCAGAAAAAAATGAGCCTCTCAGTATTTTCTATTCTTCTCATATTCCCTAGGCTAACGTTAATGCATTTTATAAAAGATGCGCCGCAAAATACTTTTTTCGACTTGAACTTTTTTCTTCTGCTATTATTTCCGTAAAAAAGTGTAGCAAAAGTGAAAACTCAGTTCTTTTTGTACTTTCACATGTGCTCTTTCTTTTGGATTGAAGAAAAAGTATTTTAGAGCAGATGCTGTGCTCGAGAACGAAGTTTTAAAACTACGTCAAAATTGACCACCCCAACTTTGAACAATGTGCTCAAATAAGAAACAGAAAACATGACCGACGTTTTGATTTTGCAGTTAGATTGACAAAAGCAATCATTTCTGATTAAAAAATATCGATCGAAAAATCTTTTGTTTGAATGGAATTATGGGACTTTTACTGAAAGCACTACCATACGCATAGAAAACTCATATGAGTTCTTTAAAGATTTGCAAAATACAGTTTTCAGTCTTGCAAGAACTCAGTTTTAGTTTTTCATCTGAGTCTCTCTATAAGGGACGTTCATTCTTCTGTAAAGCTTACACACTATAGTTCTTAAAATTCTGTGAAAAGCACAAGTTTAGTTCTAGAAACGACCTTAATTTTATTTGTTTACCGTCTTAACTATTAACACTCAATAGTTGTGATAAACAAACATAACAACAATCGCGGGTAAACTCAAAAGAAAACTTATCTACGTAGGAGAAACAGAACAAATTACCCTGTTTTTCATTTTTTCATTATTTTTCATTTTCATCGACATTATTTGTCGATTATTTGTCGACATTATTTGCACGATTGAACTAATAAAAATATTTACATGAGTATTTTACATCGGACAAGAAATGAAAAGAGAACGAAATTTGCATAGAATGGAGAACCAGAAAAATGTGTTTTGATCACCAAAAAAGTGGCTTTTGATCACCAAATTTGTTAGTAGTGAACTGATCACCAAAAAATAAGACTTTTGATCACCAAATCAATTAAAGAAAATATATACAAGAAGAAGTATTAATATTTAGGGCATACCAAAAGTACGGGCAGTGACACTTTAATACCGTATAGTAGGCTTAAAGTAACTTTCGTCTATATAGTCTGATAGAAAAAAAAAAGCTGTCTTTCTATGCTATTTGATCGTACTTCAATTAATATCATAATATCAGATTTAAGAAACCATAAAAAAAAAAACAATAAAATTTCGTTAATTCATATTGTTCAACAGTAGTATCGATATCTGTTAGTGATTTGCATAGAGTTTCAAAAATCCAGCTCTTATGTGACATATAGTATAGTAAAAAGTTTACATAGTGTGACTTTTTTCTTTGTGAACATTACTATGTATGAATTAACTAACTGCATGGCTAGTGGATATTTGTTAGTTTAGGCGTCGCGCGGTCAAGTTATTAGTAATTTCGTTCTTTTTTCGATGTTTTGGAAAATAAATATTTTAACCGTTCTCTTTTCAGTCTTTATAGAAATATATAAAAAACCGTTCTCTTTTCAATACCGTTCTCCGATAAATCCAAAAAATTCAAAAATAATTTTCCGTTCTCCATTCTATGATAATTCCGTTCTCTTTTCATATTTTATCCTTTTACATCTGACTAAAACAAGTTTTGTTTAATAAAAATACTAATCAGTTCCCAAGCACAAAAAAATTGACTCTAAAACGCGTCTTTATTCCGTTTTTAACAATCAAAGAACGCGTTAAATATTTCATTTGAAATGAATGAAAATTCCAAAGGAATTCTAAAGCGTTCTTGATATAGGACGGTAGCAAAAATCCTACAGGATTCCTATAAATAGGAATCTTATGCATTTCTCACAAAATCCTACAGTAAGATTTTGTAGGATTCCTATTTTTTCGTTCTGTATACATTTTCTTTACTTTTTCTATACGAGAACACAATCACTGATGTATTTTGTAGTAACTGTAATATAAATACAACTCTATTGTAGAAAATGAAAAATTCTTTTAGGCTCAAATTTTCGAAATTCTGTGAGTCATCGAAACTCGCTATACTATTCGACGACGTGTAAGCAAGTACTCACAAGTCCTGGGCTTATCGCAGCCTGGCTATATGGGATCAGAGAATAGTTAAATAAATAAAAATAATAAATTTAGTAGGATAAACTATATCATATCCTAGCTGATCATGTAAAATCCTATCAAATCCGATAAGATTATATAGGATCTTATATGATCTCATGAATTCCTACTGTAGGATCTCATAGGATCCTACAATAGGAATCCTACCTCATTTCTTGCTTTAAGATGGCAGACGTGTTTCCTATAAGATCCTATATGATTTCATAGGATCATATAGGATCAGACAAGATCTTATTTTAGGATCCGATAGGATCTTACCAGATCCCGTATGATCCCATTATAGGATTCTTCAACCTGGACCATTAAAATGTCAAGAAAAGCAGCTGATTAAAGATCTTATAAAATAACTTAACTCTATTTTTTAGTTTGTTTGTTTTAATCCGTATGTCAACATCTTCACAACACAAAGTTGGACTATTACCACAAAACGACGTCTGAACAACTAACAACATGATCGTTTCTCAACATCAGATCAAACCTCTGATGATGCAGTCTTAGCGATAACATCGTATAACTACGACGAGTGAACAAAGTTCACTCGTTTAGAAAAAAAGTTAATTGCGTAAGCATCTTGGAAAAATCTCGTATTTGGAGATTTTGTGTTTGAAATTGATGAAAAACTTGCTCTGAAATCATGAAAAATCATTTCTAGCGTAGAAAATAATATAGATTATTAGAGAGCATACTCTGAGTCATTTAATCATGAACTTATCTCAGAATTCAACATTTTGACCAAAATCGACTTTTCTACTTGAGGAAGACCTTGACATGCTTTTCTATTCACGTTTTGTAACTGAGCACATATTGTATGCACATGTAATACTCCGATTCATTCCTCACTGTAAACGCCACATCGAAAGTAATCGTTGTATCCCGAATTCTGCATGATGAGATTGTCTACCAGAATAATGAAGAAAAATGTGCTTTTCTCAATTTTTAAAAGCACCATCTTTGTTTTTCTATCGTTAAACGAACAATGAAATAGAATATAACAGCCAAAAATACATAAATTGCATCAATAAAAATTAAATAAAATCATCACAGCTATGTTAAATAAGCGTAAATACAAAACACACACACAAAATAATTCAACAAACTTTACCAAAAGTATGAAATGGACGGGTATAGAAAACAAAATATACGTTATCATTTCATTCGCATTTGATCAGTTGCTATTTTGTTCGCTACTATAGTTATTTAATGACGGTGCAGATTGTTTAACTGTTTTCGGTTTATAGTTCACTAACGTTTGTAATGCCTCTGAATCAAATGTTAATTTACCAGATAAAACATTACAAATCTAGATAAAGACGAGAGCTATATACACACCTTATACCACGATCATTTTTTGCATATTACCTGTTTTAATCCTGACAGTGATATTAGTAATTCATCTTCGTTTGGTGAAGTTAACTCACAAATACGAGTTTGTAATTGATCTAAATTAAAGCAAGTTTTATTTCTTGGCTATTAATTGTTTTAAACAATTTTATAAAAAATACCCAAAAATTTGTCCATAAAATAAGCACAATATTTTTGAATTGTTCGTGAATCCTCTAACTGTTGACGAACACTTCTCTCGGGCCATGTCTGTTACAAGAAGAAAATCATGCAATATGTTTTAGATAAACAAACTATTATACTGTTGTTTACATCTAATTCTGATGATAAAGAACTGTTCGACAAGTTTGTATTTATCTTTGTTGATAGTTGTTGTGCAAAAGATGTATTTGATGATGAATTGCGTGCTAATGGACGGCTGTTATGAGCATTTTCTTGTGAAAAACCAGTTGTTGTTGTTGATGTAGGTGTTAATAATCGTTTAGGTTCTACTACTTGATTCGTTGTTTTTTGTTTTGGCACTGTTTGCTGTTGTTGTTTAATATACTCTTTTCGAGATGAAGCTTCTAAAAAGAAAAACATTGATTTTTTATTTAATGTTAAGGATGTCCGGCACATTTACGTACGATCTTGTTCAATATTCATTCGACTAGTTTCAGCACGTTTCGTATTTGATTGAGGCTCTTCTGATGCCGGTTTCAGCTATCAAGGATAAAACAAAATCAGTCTAAGTTTTTAAAGGAGACTTCTTTTATTTCACCTGTCGACCAGCTATTGCTAAAGCCCGTCGAAGAACGTGTTCAGCATTTGATATGACATTATGTTGCATAAGTAGTTGTAAACAACTGCTATAATCACGTTTCGACACTAAAACTAAAGATCGTGAATATTTGCTAATACAAAAATATGGCCTTAGTATTACCGAATCTATCTCACCGACAAAATGTCGGTTAATAGCTAATGTAGCAAATGGTCAAGAATATCCGCTTACTTTTCCAAACTATGTATCCAATAAAGATGACTTACATAAATTTCCTAATTCCATTAATAATGCCACAAAAAAATAATCAACAAATTTGAAATGTTCATCGAAACAGAATATTACAGTCCATACAATAGGAATACATTCGAATGGAATCTCACGTCCGAATAATAATCGAAGCCATCGTCTATATCAAAATAGAAGAAAAAAAAAATTGTTTATCTTATATTCTATATTAAAACTCATTTTTCTTACATTCCATAGATATGTGGATCTATATCAAGTTCTTGTAGCTTACAATGTAAAAATCGATCATAATTTTTTAATTGTTCAAATATTTGATTTACACGTAAAACAATTTCATTCGATTGTGGACTGAGATCTTGTGCTTTTTGAAAGGGTTGTTTTGCTTCATTCTGAACAGAATTCTAAAAGAAATAAACAAATTTAATTTAAGTATCATAGAAAATTTAAACATTACCCTTTTCTTTGTTACATTGTTGTCTTTAATGTCATACCATTGTTTAAGATGATCCATAATTTTTTCGAATATAGCACTAAGAATAACAAGCAAATATAAGTCAAACAAGCTGTCAATTTATCTGAGGAACAAATGTTACCTACTAAGCATCGTGTTCTAGATAATTGGGATCGTATAAAGTTTTCATAAGATTACTAGAATTTAAGCATTATAATAGATATTTTAGATAGATGATTATTAAGTATAAAAAATTACTTTGCATTTTTACATTCATTCACTTTTGTTCCTTCCAGATGTAAATTATACACGATTGCTGCTAAAATTTCATGCATTCCCTAGAACACAAACCAGGATAGATTTCCAGACTTTGTTATTCACTCTCAATGACAAACCCTCACTCACTTGCCTGTATGGTGTATTATGATGGCTTCTACTATGAGCAAATAATATTTGTAATAATGTATCGGATACTCGGGGATTATGAAAGAAACTAATCTCTGGACAACTAAAAAAAGGTAACAAGTGTAGACGATGTTAAATGTAGTTGTAGCTTTCTGGGAAACTAGTACGTGGTTAGTGAGTGTATATGGGGAGCTCAAGCAATTCAGCGAAAGAATTTTACATCAGGCCAGCGTTCTGTCCAGAGCTATAGCCGATGACTAGTAACGACATGAATGACCGTTTCAGAAGCTTGTCAGGACCACGGAAGATATCAGGCTATTGAAACAGCACCCGATACCGAAAACGGTAGCCGCAAGGTGGGATATTCTTCCTTCTTCCTCTAAGTAGTTTCATAATCAAAGTCTCTAGCAAGAATGCTATTTTACCAGAAACTTATCATATTTTTCTCGTTATTACTCCGACTGTACTACGGGTGAATCATACGTATCCGAGGTCACAGAAGCAGATTTACGGCCAATAGTTACGTTTTATCATGTGTGGATGTAATAAAGAGAAAATGTGATAAGGTTTTGATAAAATCTCGAGCGTAAAACATGGAGAATGACAAAACAAAAACGTACAGGATTCCTGCCTCAAACATGTCATTGATTATTTACATAGAAATCAGAAAAATATCAAAATTTTTGGTGATAATTACGTCCGACGAACGTCTTGATTAATGGTGGCTTTCAATTCTTTGTCAAGAAAATATTGTTTCCAAATGCTCTGATACAAAAAAAAAGAAAACGAGCAAGAAAAAAAATGCACTTCTCGGATAACAATCTTACTTTATCGTCCTGTGAAAGTGGATTATTGATTGTTAAATCTTGTGTATCGGCAACATACGGATCAATTTTAAACTTCATAAAATATTGAAGAGAAACTTAGAGATTATAAAAGCATCAATATTTCGTGACTCTATTTACCTCTCGCACAAGTTTTTCATAGCTTTGACGTGAATCGTGAAGAACATCAATCCATTGAACAGGATTGCGCGGAAGACAATGAAGAGAAATCTAAAGTAATATCTTATTTTTGGTTCAGGTAAATGTATTCTTTCTATTTTATATACTGACTCGCCAAAGAACCAAATTGAACGAAAATTGCGTTAAAGTTCTTTCTAATATGCTATTTCTAATTGTATCGTAGTCGAAATCGGTGAATATCTGATTCCATTCGGTTCTTGAAAAAAAGGAAATTAGTCAACAATAAAAAGTGATCCTCTTATAACAAGTTACGTACAGAAGATCGTTGGTTTCAACTTCATCTGTCGACACAGGCTGATTATTATTTTCTAAAAATATGCGAGAAATAGAAATAAATATAGACTGCACAAGAATTAATGTTTGATACCTTCGTTTAATGTTGATAACGGTAGTGTTTGATTCACCGATGGACGATCATTTGTGATAGAAGGCGATGTCATGTCTGTTTCAATTGACGACATGTGGATGTTTTACTAAGCGTAAATCAAAGTAAAAACATATTTTCTAAAACTTAAAGAAAACTGTGTGTTATTTCTATAAAACTACACTTCAGATGGAATAAAACTATTATTATCATAGAAGAAATGATAGTGCTGTTGGTGCGAAGCTCGTTGCAGATAAAGTTAGGTAATGCATGCGAACGAGTCTCTTTAATGCAAAAACTTACTAACATCTCACTACTATTTACTTTACACATGTTCGAGACATACTTGACAGAAGGATTTGAAAAATTTCGCGTTCTAAATTACGAAAGAAAGAAGTGCCACATTTAGGACAAAATAAATTAGCCATTTTTAAAATAGGATATATACAAAACAATAAAACGATAGTTGTTTCCTTTTTCTTTTAATTATTTAATTTTAATAAAATAAACGATCAGTAATCACCAGCACAACGTTTAAATTTAAAATTTAGCAATACGATGAGTGCATATCGTTCAACTTCTGTCATGAATGACAAAATAAGACATGACAAAGATCTTCGCTTTAAACAGATTAGTGACTCGAAGTGATTTATTAATAAGAGCAGCAATAGAATTACTCTATTGTATTGACTATAATATCATGTATCTAAAACGGTTGAGCTTAAATAATCAGTTAAAATAGCATTCAAATCCCATTTTTGTACACGATAAACATTACAATAATTTTGTGCATTAGTTTCGTTTTGAAACCAATTCAAGCTCTTCAGCATCTCTCTCGAACAAAACTGGAAAATACAAATAGTCCATTATTGGCCAGATATCACGAATGATGATAGATGTAGTCAAGAAAATGTTCACCATTTATCATTCGCTATGGTCGCCATTTTTTGAATCCTTGTCAAGATTCTGCTGATAGATTCCTAACAAGATGATCATAAGGAAAGAATGTCAAATTAAAATGTAGTAAGAAATACGATTTCAAAATCTTGTCCACCTCGACATGAAAACGTTATCCATTTGTCTGACAATAGCCTCAGTATTTCGGCAATTGAGTCACCTCTGTAAATAAAATCGAGTTTGACATCTATACGAAGACAGTAAAGAAATAAAGAAATTTGTCAGACTATTCATCCATCAAGATCCTTCGTGACAAATGGTGAGAAAAATTTCTGACAAACCACCAAAAAACACTCTTCATAAAGGAGTATATATTATTAAAAAGAGAGAAAAAGAAAGCAGCGAAAATTTTGATGATCACTTTAAAAAGCTTTTCGTGACAGTTTCAAAGACAGTGAAACTATCCCATGTCGTCAAAATTGACTAATTAATCAGAACAATCAATCGCGATTCGTCCCATTTATCAGCAATTTTTTCTGAAATCGTGCTAAATCGAAAAAAAATCTTATTAATCGTTCTATTAGCCCACTTGGTCAACATGAGAAGCATCTAGAAACCATTCAAAAAGTCCTAATATAGCTCAAATGATAAAGAGTCTTGACTAACTTCACATGTTCCTACGTCCAAGGTGATATATAGTCTTTGTGCGAAAAAATAGAATTTCGCAAGTTTGACAAGAAGGACGAATTCTTGTTAGTTCGTAAAACATCGAAACGTGCATTATCTCTAAGAGAAGACTAACGAGATGCTGGAAGTACTGCACTATTGAGTTACAAAAAATTATCTTTGAAACTAGTATGTTGAACGGTAGAAGTAGTACCCATTGATGAACAATTAATCACGAATTGAACAAATAACTCCTGATACACAGCGAAATTGAAGTGTGCAAGATTGTCTTGTTTGTTTACTCTAGTATACAGCGATGAGAAGAGCAATAAAACAAACACATGCGTGCACTCACTGTAGATACTGGTGATGAGTCAGTCATTATTTTTTTAAGCCAATTAGATATTCGATGATTACTAGCGAACTTTTGGATCTTCGACGGACGGATAAAATTAAAACGGACTAAGGAAAATGATATTGTAATTTTCTTGACAGTCATATTGATTAGCAGTAGAGAGGAGAGTTATTGAGACGCTATTGGTGTATTAGACAACGACTGGTTTTCTCATTTAACATGACATGATATGACATGATGTATGTGGTGGTAGAGAAAAAAAAGAGAAAAGAGGTATGTCAATAAACAAAATATCAGAATAGTATGAATCAGAATGGACTTTGATTCTCTGCGTCAATATCTGCTCTATTCTTTAATTTGCAGAAAATAATTTTTGTGACTGTTTTTCCATAACTCGCATCATTCAAATGAAGCTTAGTGCAATTCCTATAATCTTCTTTTTCCTCCAAGCGACATCATAGTTTGATTTGATGGATGTTTTGTAATTGTGCAAATCGTGAGCATGAACATTGTATGAGAAAAATAAATCTAGTGTATGTACTTCATTTATTTAAATCGAGCTGAGAAAAGAATAGGAATATCATTATGTTGTTTTTTAACCGATACATAGTGCCTTGAACACTCTAAGTAAATAAAATCTAAAGAAATTGGAATAAATTTAAAAATTAGAGCACAAAAACTACACTATGGCGACCAACAGAACTTTTTTTATAGCAAGCACATTGTGGTTATATGGTTTCACTAAATTTAGTGCTTGATAATAAATTACAAACTGCACTCGAAGGTGTCCAGTTTTATACCACTGTTTATTCGGCTGTTTTATATTACAGAGATAAAGATCAATGTTCTCTAAATGCATGGTATGATCAACGTAAAAACCAAACAAAAAATGGGTATTTACGTGCAATATATAAAGAAACTGAGGATGTTGTTCTAGAATGGATGTGGATTAATTACATTGTCTCCATCCACTTCATCTATTGCTATTTAAAAAAAAATATTGCAGGTGATCATTTCGGACCAAGAATTGAATTCAAACGTATTCAAGTGCTTTGTTTTGCCTACAAATATGATCAAGAAACAAAATTTATTGAATATAACACATTCAAAAAATTTAAGGATGACCAAGAAAAGAAAAAAAAGTGCATTAGAAACTCAACTTGAATCCTAGTCAAAACAATAATTTTGAATGTGTTCACAGTCATCTGCAAGCAGGAATAATTGCATAGACGACAAAATATTTATAATGATTTTATAGATATTGTCAATTCATATTATATACGCTTACCAAAAGTTAAACTTATTAAGTTCTTTTGCTTTTTTGTTGTAAATATTTTATTTATGAAATAATTTGTGAATAAAATCGAAACTGTTATCCCCTTTACAGTATTTCAAACAAAAGTATACATAGAAAAGAAAGCGGTTGAGAAATGTTTACTATGACTGAACATTGAATAACAGCAAGGTTCGTTTGTCTATAAAGTAATTATCGAATTACTTTTTTCTGGGAAGCAAAGAAAACAGGAGCAAGATCGTTTACGCTTTGACTGAGAATCTCTTAGACGGTAGTATACGGAAAAGTTGCCTATATTTGGAATATTCACGAAGTGAGAGTAATGAATGGAGTTTTACACGCTTAATTTCGGACTATCAATTTTTCTTAAAAGCTAGTGTTGCACTTATGACTGTGAAACGGAACATGCTTTATAAATTTACTTCTAGTGCTTCTCTAAGATAGTGTTTTATCGTTCAATACATCGTCTTCTACACATATTTATAAGACGTGTGTATTCTTCTTCAGATGGATCATCGCTCTTGTGCATAACTTAGTACGTTTAAAACAATCCCTTCGATCTCTTCAGAAATTAAGAGCTACTATTATACTAGAAGATTACGTTTTAAGTCATCTCATGCATTCAACAGAAATCACCATCGATACTGATGTAGCGGAACAGTTCACCGTAAAGACCCTTTCCTATAACTAGTTTAGACTCCTTTCAAAAAATCTCAGTTTTTGATAAAATCCTTCTTCTCTCAGTGTTATTATATTTGTCGTGATTTTCAGCTATAAAAAAAATTCTCTGATTATTACATGTATACCACCATAGCTTGATTTTACCGTTTTCAAATTCTCTTGTCCAAGAATTGAAATATGTGTAAGCTAAGTTGTGTTTGTGGCACACACTAACTAATGATTGACTTAATTTCATCTAAATTAAGATGAAATTGAGAAAATAATTAGTTTCATCTTATCGTCAATTAGACTTAAATTATTTTGTGGAACATTGTGAACCTCTCCAACATTTTGTTTCAGATATTGATAATCTCATTGATATATTCAGCAAATCAAATGCTAAATATTTAGAGAATAAAATGTTATCTAAGTTTCAGTTGCATTCTAAACCGCTCTTTCTCACACGCTCATTAATTAGCGTTGATGGAAGATCCAAACATACTGAAAAACACAATGATGATGATTATAATTATTTTAAACATAGTATCTTACCTACCGATCATTTTCAATATAGTTTACCACGTTTGCCCATACCCACATTAGATAATACATGCAAACGTTATTTAGCAGCTTTGAAACCATTACTATTGTCTAAAAATGAAAATGAAAACGATAGTAAATCTTATCAACAAACATCAAAATATGTTGAAGATTTTCGTGTAAATCAAGGTAAAAAATTAGACGATGATTTACGTCAGAAAAATAATCTTAATCGTGCAACATCCTACATTAGCAAACCATGGTTTGATATGTATTTAAAATCCCGTTTACCATTAATATTAAATTTTAACTTTTTTCTCGTATTTAATGATGATAAACGACAACAAAAACCCTTTGCAAGAATTACAAATTATATTATATCATCTATACGTTTTATGAAAACATTACGTTCAAATAGATTAGATCCGGAAGTGGTGAGTCTCCATTTATTTTCTTGTTTGTACTAGAGCTGATTTTCTACAATTTTTGATGCAAGATTAAAAATGGAAAGACGATACGTTTTATACATTCGTTAACGATTTATTTTTCATTTTGACTCTTTTTAGTATCATTTAAATCCTAAAAAAACGAATACGGATTCATTTCGAAAATATTTACGTTTTGTTCCAAAACGTTTTTCATTTTATGGCGCTTATTTAATGAAAGCATTTCCATTAGATATGAGTCAATATAATCGTTTATTTAATTCGACACGTATACCAAAACAAAACTGTGATATATTAGTAACAGATATTGAAAATATTAAACATATTATTGTTATTAAAGGTGGACATTATTATAAAGTGACAGTTTTAGATGAACAAGGACATATGTTGTCCCCAAAAAATATAGCTTCAACAATGAAATATTTATGTGAAGAAATTGTAGAAAAAGATAATCCATTTCCATTAGGTTATTTTACTGCTGATGTTCGAGATCGTTGGGCAATGATACGAGAAAAATTAGAAACAAATGAACATAATAAGAAAATATTTGATACCATTGATCATTCGATAATGTTAATTTGTTTAGGTTTGTTTAAATTCGTGAAATATTGGTTCAATCTAAATAATTTTTCTTTTTCTTTCTTTCATTGTTTAGATGAAGATAGTGAAACTGATCTTAATCGTAATATGACTGAAAAACAGCGTGCAGAATATGCTGCTAAAGCTTATTTATGTTATAATGCTAAAAATCGTTGGTTTGATAAAACGTTTAATATGATTATGTTATCAGATGGTACTTTGGGTTTAAATTGTGAACATTCATGGGGTGATGGTGTGGCGTTGATGCGTTTCTGCAATGATATTGATAAAGATGCGACTGAAAATCCAAAACTGGATTCTTCTTCCATTAATCAAACATCTGCCTCTCGTGAAAATATTGAAAAATTAGAATTTCAGTTAACAGATGAGATAAAATCCGAATTAGAACAATCAAAACGTAATTATGAACAATTTGTTGGTAAATTCAATGTTAATGTTTACAAATCAAATGTAATTGGTAAAAATTCAATGAAAAAATCACAATTGAGCCCCGATAGTATTATGCAGTTAGGTTTACAGTTAGCCTATTATAAATTATATCAAAAATTTGTTGGCACCTATGAATCATGTAGCACGGCTGTGTTCAAACATGGACGAACAGAGACCATACGTCCGGTGACAATGGAAACTAGAGAATTTATTGAAAAAGTTGAACAAAAACAAGCCAATCCAGAGATGTTAAAAAAATGTTCAGATAAACATCAACAATTAATTAAAGAAGCAGCCATGGGTCAAGGTTTTGATCGACATCTATTTGCTCTAAAATATTTACAAGAAGTTGAAAAGAAAGAACAACTACATCCAATTTATACTGATACATCTTATCAACTCATTAATCATAACATTTTATCAACTTCGACTGTTGCCTCAAAACATATTGCAGCTGGTGGATTTGGACCAGTTGTAAATAATGGATTTGGAATTGGATATTTGATTGATGATGATCAATGTGGATTATTAGTTACATCGTATCACGAAAAAGAATTAAAAGATTTTGTTGATACAGCCGGTGAAAGCTATAAAAATATAAATGATATAATTAAACAATAGTGTCACTTAATTCTTACTTTTTCGCTTTTAGTTTACATTTCAGACGTGCAATGCTCTGTAAAACATTAGTTAATATAAAAATTTTTAGACGTTACAGTATAGATTGAAGAGAGAAATTCTTTTCTTTTTAAATATAATTTAGTACTGTTTTCTTCTTTTTTTTGTTGGATCTATTTGTTTCTTTTTACCGTGAAATGTGTGCGATTTTTTTTAATTTTAAGGGTGTTTGGATAATTTTTTATAACGACAATGATTTAACTTGCTAAAAAGTACCGTGTTTTTCTCTTAAAATGATGTTTTACTGTTGTATGCTAGAATATACTTTTAGATCAAATTTGCTCAGATACATTCACCTGTAGATTTTATAGGATAACACCTAATTATCAAGTATTGTATGTGATGAACGGTTTCGATCATTTGTGAGCAGCATTTTTGATTGCATTCTGTTTTCATATTTATAACAAAAATTCATATTTTTGTTTAGCACTGCAAACTTCTACGCATGTTTCCTTTGAAAGAGAAATTTCTCTTAATAGATTGATATTAAGACTAAGGAGATCTAGTTTTGTGTAATTAATATTACAAGAAATATAAGCGTTATTTCGAAAGAAAAGAAAAGAAAAACCATTAAAAGGCCTTACAAACGATTGTGTTTAAAGTTTGGCTTTTTTCTTCCCTACATTAAAGAGAGAAGACAAATTGGCTAAATTATGTTTTGTTGATTGTTTTCGAAATAGTAATATAAACAGTCTTGAAAGACGAATGAATGAGAAGAGAAAAATGAAAAATCTATTAGCATTTGTCTTGTTCTTCTCATAAAATTTTGAAATGGAACTCGGTTGGGTGTCCTTTAAGTGTATTTTTTCATAAGAGACATCTAATCACTGTCTCGTTTTATATACACATCTGCTGTATTTTTCGTGTAAAAAAAGAATCATTGAAAATAAATAATATGATTAAATCGAAATCAAATAAGAGAGAGTATATATACGACAGGAGAGTTGATGAAAAAAAGGACAGAACGAAAAGACAAAAACAAGGGAACAATATATATTATATGTCTCTCTCTATATATTCTCGTTGTGAACAATGAAACGATTCAGATGAAGAATTTTATCAAAGCAAAATAGCAATGAATAAATTGTTTTACCTAAAAAAATATGTTCCATACCCTTACCTGCAGAATTTGTCCTTGTGTTTAAAGAACGCATATGTTATGTGAGTAGGATTTCTCTTCTGGTAATAGGAAATCTTATAAAAATTTATAACAGAATTTAAGACACCTATTTGAAAGTTGGTTTTAGATTTCTAATTACTAAGCAACAAATTTTGCATTTATAAATGAACTATGCAATTAGATTTGATTTAAAATAATTATAAGAAAAATAAACGTCACTTCGTCCTATATTTTAGATTAAAAAAAAACCATTTCTCTCATCATGACTGTTCTAACAATACTGTCACTGATATTTATTATTTTATTTTGTTCATATGTTCATACTGATGGTGAAGATTTTTATAAATTATTGGATATTGAAAAATCGGCTAGTCAACGTGATATTCGACGTGCATTTAAAAAAATTGCATTAGAAAAACATCCTGACAAACGAGCGGGTGATCCAAATGCTCATTCAGAATTTGTAAAAATTAATCGGGCCTATGAAATATTACGTGATGATGAACTGAGAAAGAAGTATGATCAATATGGTGAACAGGGATTAAAGGATGATTTTAATCGTGGTAATCAGTATCAAAGTTGGTCATTTTATAAGCAAAATTTTGGTAAGTGATGTACAAAAATAGAATGTTGATATAAAAAAAAAGATTTGTATATTTTTAGGTATTTATGATGAAGATCCCGAAATTATTACACTTAGTCGGACAGATTTTTGTATGTATTGTACTAATGTTTTTTTATTTTTTTATGGCTATAAATATATTTTTTTACTTGTAGTACAATCGATCGATGGTACACAAGACATTTGGTTTATAAAGTAAGTTAATCTTAATTTTTATTGTTCAATGATAGCTGATCATACGTGGCTGCTATCATATTTTTTTTTCGCCTCATCGATACTATACAATTTTCGTTGATTTTTAATATATATAATTTTTTTTCATCATTTAGTTATTATTCGCCACAATGTGGGTAAGTTGTCTTTTTGAGACATGTATTTTTGTATTCCTAACTTTTTCTTTCTTGACAGACATTGTCATGATCTTGCACCTGTTTGGCGTGAAATAGCGAAAGTTTTGGAAGGTGTTATTCGAATTGGTGCTGTAAATTGCATGGATGAATGGGCATTATGTAATGAACAAGGCATACAATCTTATCCATCTTTACTCATTTATCCAAGGGTAATATTCTTTTTTCTTTCCACTTTGCTGCAAAGTTAAGTAGAATGAAGAATCGTTCGAGTTTTTAAGAACATCAAAGTCGAGCGGAGACGACAACATATAGCGCAAAACTGAGAGTTTTCTTCTTCTATCTTACGGATAAAATAGACAAAGATGACGTTGTTTTTGTTTTATGTTTTAGCGAGACAGATATAATGGTCATAGACATAAAGATGATTTAATTCGATTTGCTATGAGTTTTGTAACTGCCGATCTTCTACACTTGAACGATGCAACGTTCAAACGAGAATTATCAAAGAAAAGTCAAAATAATAAACCATTTTTAATTGTTTATTGTCGTGAGAATGATGAAGATGATTGCCTCGATAAAGATCAAGCATTTAAGTTGGCTGCTATGCTGGTAAAAAATAATGTGATGTTTTTTGTTTTTATTCATTTTTTTATCAGTTTGTTTAGAAAAAGAAACTAGTTCAGAATGGATATTCTGTTGTGCTTTTTCTTACTTTTGGATCCTTTTTTTTGTTAACTGTTTTTTCAGCATTTAGAATAACCTTGTCCAAGTTGGAATAGTCAATTGCCGTTTGAATCCGTTGGTGTGTCAAACATTGAAACCAAAAAGTTCCATTATTTACTACGAACCAAATCAAATATTAAACACGAATGATAACAATGATACACGCACAATTACAAGTTTAAACATTAAAGAAATAGCATCGCAAACATTGAGTTATTTACCTGATGTTAAAATATTAACTGAAGATGTATTTAACGTAAGAAAGAGGTAAAATACAACGATTGTTGAGTGTTAATCAATCTGTTTTAATCTATTATAGAATTTAATGACTGAACTAAAACAGAATAAGAATAAACCATTATTAGTTCATTTTGTTGATCAAAAAAGCAATGAAAAAGATCTTGAATTACGAAAATTACCATCGATGCTAAATGGTAAATTATAAATCTTTGTAAAATTGTCTTTTATGTTAATCTTATTTAGATTATAATATTGGCCGATTTGAATGTTCATATTCAACGTCTGTTTGTCAAAATTTATTTGTTACCAAATTACCCACATTTATCTTATTCAAATTAGGTGGTTATCATGAATTTTATTATGGTAAGATATTAGAAACAAGATTAACAACGTTTGTATTCTCCCTTTTTTTTCTTTTTAAGGTCGATATATTGCAAATGATGTAGCAACATTTGTTCGTGAAAATGCTCATACAATTGTTCGAGCACTAAATCCAAATGATTTTCCACATGTGACAAATACATTAAACAATAAACCATTTATCATCGATTATTTTTCACCAGTGAGAAACTAAATACATATAAGAAGATGAATTTAATTGTTAACTATTTTCGTAATATTATTTAGCATTGTCCACCGTGTTTACAATTACTACCAGAATTTCGTAAATCATCAAAAAAGATTGGAAATCAAATTAATTTTGGAACAGTTGATTGTACAATTCACAATCGTTTATGTCAAGAACGAAACATTCATTCTTATCCTTCCACTATTATTTATAATGAATCTATAGCACATCAGTTTCATGGACAATATTCAGAACAAGCAATTATAAATTATGTAAGTATCAATAAATAGAAATATTTATCTCATACATTTGAGTTTAAATTCTAGGTAGACGATATTCTACATCCATCAGTGATTATACTAGACAATAATTTATATGAAAATCTCGTTGTAAATAAAAAACATAATGAAATGTGGTTATTGGATTTTTTCACACCATGGTGTCCTCCATGTCAACAATTATCAGGAGAATGGCGACAGTTAGCAAAGGTAAGATATAATGCAATGATATCTATGGAGAAAAATTATTGTCTAATTCTTTTCTTTTCTCTTTAGTTTATGAACGGAATTGCTAATATTGCTACGGTCGATTGTACCGTTCAAACGTACCTGTGTCAAAGATTAGGCATTCAGTCTTTTCCAACTATCAGACTTTATCCACCGAATTCGGGTGGAAACAATTTTGTGTACGTGCTATATACTAAATCATTCGTAATTTTATATTTTGATTTTTTTAGAGTATATAATAATGGATGGCGTGATGCGAATTCATTGCGTTCATGGGCATTCAATTTTCTACCAAGCAAAGTGATTGAATTAGATAGTAACAAATTTTCCACGATCGTATTACGTGATAATAATTCATGGGTGGTGGATTTTTATGCTCCTTGGGTACGTAAATGATAGTTTATTTCACATATGACTTACATATTTTGTTCAACACATTTATTCATAGCATTTATCATTTATCATTTGTAATTGTTTTAGTGTGGACACTGTCATCAATTTAGCCCCATTTTTGAAGGTGTTGCTCGAGTAAGTTTTTCAATAATAATATCTCAAGTTAATAATATCTCAATTTCCAATTTTTGAAGAAATTGGAAGGAAAAGTAAATGTTGGTAAAGTCAACTGTGATATACAAAGAGATATTTGTGAACGAGCAGCTATTCGTGCATATCCAACAATTAAATTTTACAAAGGAGCAATTAATTCAAAACGACAGGTTAGTGATCACTTCAAAAGCAGAAACATGACATTACCATTTTAAATTTTTTGTGCCATATTTGGTAGGAATTTATTGGCGAAGATATCAATCAACTGGATGGAGATTTTATTCTACATTATGTTATGAATAGACAACCATCTGCTGCACAAGAACAATCTCATAGAACTGAACTGTAAATATATTTATTATTATATATTATACGCTCTCATAATCTTGCATCTTTGATCTTTCATCTCAATCTTATATAATCTCTTGTTGTGTTGCATTTGTTATGCTTCTTTTTGATAAAAATGTGTTTTTGTATATTGAATCTCAAACAATTTTATTTTCGCCTTTTATGTGATACTTACTACAAAGCACCTCTAACTGGGAAATGTCTGGCAATAGAATGATGTGAAAACATGAATGTTTATAAAGTGTATTTAATTCATTTCTGTTTTCAATTTTGTACATATAAATTGTTTTTGTTTTTTTATTACACGATTTTACAATTTTATTATATTGTTAAACTTAATTTAATGAATAAAATTCTAGGTGAAAGTCTTGGTGAACGAAATTTAAAAAGTTCAAAAATCAAGTATCGCTTTTCATTGATCATCCAGGTTTGGAAACCAGATCTCATTCTTGCGTATCTCTGTTTTAGATCTCATCCACAACAAAGTGTATTGTATAATGCTTCAAATACTGAGTTCTCAGGCAATAATCGTTCGATGCATGATTTCAGATCACTCTATTTTCAATATAGTGGACTAAAAATCGTATTGTTTTTAAACAAATAATAATCATAAGATTATCTAAATCTATTACATATTTAAAATAAATGATTAAATGAAATTGAGTATTGAGACAAAACTAGTCAAAAATAAAGTCGACGTTTAAGTGCCTTTCTTGTGGATTTCGATGAAGATCCTCGTGAGTTTCCTTCATGGAGTGGTCTCCGCGAAGAAGCAAAATGTAGTCCATCGTACACTTCTGCTCTCATGGCATGGAAACGTGTGAATGGATGTAACATATTGATATGAATGAAACACTGCACAAGTGGACATGGACTGAAACGTTCAGCGGATGATCACTATAACAAAGCTCTGTTATTACGCACAAAGGTGAATTTAGATTTTTGATGAGCACATGTGGTAGCTACGAACAGAGCATCTATAGTCTACATCGTTCTGCGTATTTTCATGTATGGAAGTTTTTTACGTCTGAACACTATTTGTAATATTCCGTGTGACGACGGCCCTCCGAGAGCTCCTATGCATGGAAGGGTATTCCTTTAGCAGATGTTCCACCGTGAATGTATGATAACATTATAGCTGGTGTTCCCCGTAAGAAAAAGTGTTCCACCTTCTTATAGATAGAATAGAATAGGTAGAGTGATAGAAGTGGGACCTGAATTTAAAAGATCACGGAAAAAACATGCTTTGGATCACGGTTGGCTGAATTGTGAAAAAAAACATGGAAAAGATCCGGGTTACGAAAATAAAAATCTTTTATGCCAAAAACATTAATTTGATCACGGAAAAAAATCTAATTAAAGCTATGTTACGAAAAACATCGTTTAGATCACGAAATTGTTCTAATTGTATAAACTCTTCTCATTTTTCATTTAATTCATACTAGTTTTCTGATGGCTGTGCAACATTATGTATGTTACAAAAAAATGAAGACAAATATAGAAAGATTTGAACCTTAGGTAATGAACCTTTTTAATCTGTAATGGTGTCAAGCCATTGTCAGCCATATCGCGAATATTATGCCGCAGAGGAGAGGAGAGACGAGTTGTATCAGCACGTAGTTCATGATTATGCGACGAGAAATAAAATGCTTCATACGAAACTTACAAACATTATGACTTTTGATGAATGATGAAATATCGTCTTTGGCAAGAATTGTAGAAATAACAGACCAATTTTTGCGAGACATTTCAGTAATATAGAATTAGCTTGTATAGAAAATTTCACAAAGTATTAAATGATGTACTGTGTGTACTTCTTAACTATCCCACATGAGTTGTACATACACTTCGTCCAACTATTTGACTACTTCAGTGTAGAATATGTACAATTTCCGTGATCTAAACCATGTTTTTCGATTATATAAACAAACCGTGATCTATTCATGCTTTTTTCCGTGATCTTTTCCATGATTTTAAAATACAAAAAATTATTTTTCGTAACCGTGATCTTTTCCGTGTTTTTTCCACAATTTAGTCGACCGTGATCCAAAGTGTGTTTTTTCCGTGCTCTTTTCTCATTTATTCCCGATAGAAGTGTTCCTCTTCTTGAAAAACACGAAAAATGTTCCGTTTCTAGTCTTTTCTAATAGGATTAAAGTAAATACTGATAAATCAAAGAAATTATCTTATGCATAATTAAAAAAGAAGTAATTAAGAAGCTATCTGTTTTCACGTAAGCTGAAAAGAACATCGATTGATAGAAGTTAAAATACAGATAATGAGACAAAAGGCAGATCAGATCCCTTAATTACTTGATCCGCTCAAGTAATAAAAAATGTGGTATGAACTATACTATAAAAGAAGTGTTATTTGCAACATATGTCACTTCACAACTTCATTTCACAACTATCATGGCTATTCCTACTGACAATCGAGAATTTACAAAATATTAAATGATGATGATTTACTATCTCAATTCGTTCGCGACCAAAATTTGGCTCAAAAAAGTGATGAATACACATGTCACTGTGACTTGGCACAAGGAAGAAGACACTCAAAGATGGTACGGTCAAGATCTATCCGACAATGCGGTGTACCAATCGACAATGTCGAAATCAATTAAGTGTTCGTAAAAATACATTCTTCGCATTTACTGATGCATTGGGTCGACCAAATTCGAAACTTGATATACGGACAATCTTGGAATTGATATGGCTGTGGTGTTTGGGCACGTCTTCGTCAACAATTGCCACATTGCTACATGTCACGAAAACGACTGTGGTCGATTGGACAAACTTTTTGCGAGAAGTAAGTTTTTTCTGAAATTTCTATAACTTGTTTCTACTATTAATATTATGTAGATGTGTCAAGAGAAGCTGAATGACGCTCCGCAAATGGGTGACATTGGTGAAGTTGTGCAAATAGATGAATCGTTATTTCGTGGCAAGCGCAAGTATAATCACGGCCGGCAATTACTGGACAATCGTGGAAACGCAACGACAGCCTTCAACAACAACAACAACGGTCTCGTACAATACCCACGTTCGACGTCCAGTGATGATTCAGATTCCAGCACAGTTCAGACAAATAACAACCGCAATTATGGGGCCAGAGTTGATGGTAAGACGAATTTTTTAAGAATTAAGAAGAATGAGAGATAAGTAAGAAGATCTTTTTTGCTAAGAGAAACATTGAATAAAAACCCTCTTTTGTTCATTTAGGTCCCTGGATATTCGGAATTGCGCAGCCAACGGCAGAGGGATACGAGGCCCGTTTTTCCATGTACAACGACGTGATGCTGCTACACTACTTCCAATTATCTGGAAAAATGTTTATCCTGGTACCACAATTTGGTCAGACGAATGGAAAGCTTATTGTCGTCTACAAATAACATACGGGCATGACCATCAAACGGTGAACCACGCACAAAATTTTATCGATCCACACCGGCTGCCACACGCAACTTATCGAATCGTTATGGGGCCACGCAAAAGCAAAGATTCTTAGAACAATGCGAGGAACAACCTTATTGGACTCACATTTGGCCGAATTCTGGTATCGTTCTGTCCATAAGTCCATGTTTCCATCTGTTTTGAATGATATTCGACATTATCGTATAAAATAATCATCAATGTTTTGGTCGCGAACGAATTGAGATAGTAAATCATCAACATTTAAACGGAACATTCGTCATTTTTTCTTCTCCTAATCTGTCTGTTAACTGTTGTTAATCGATGTTCTTTGTTGCTTCTTTAATTAATTAATAAAGTTAATTATACATACGATAGTTTCTTTGATTTATCAGTATTTACTTTAATCCTATTAGAAAAGACTAGAAATGGAACATTTTTCGTGTTTTTCAAGAAGAGGAACACTTCTATCACTATCTATTCTATTCTATCTATAAGAAGGTGGAACACTTTTTCTTACGGGGAACACCAGCTATAATGTCACTATGTCGCACTTTAACAAAAGAGGTGAAACACTTTTTTCTTACGGGGAACACCAGCTATAATGTTACCATACATTCACGGTGGAAGCATAATTCCTAAAGAAAACTTTTCTATAAAAGTTTCGAAGTCCTCGTTTAGTGGAGAAGGATTGCACATGATTTCACGCTTGTGGGTAATCGGCTGCCTCTGAGCTATATTGTCGGATCGAATCTCAACTTCAAACTTGAAAAAACATTACTATTGCATGTCATGCATAGATTGCATAGATGACATATGTATAATACAACTGTTATGGTGGCGTTTGCAACATTGTAATTTCAACAATAAGATTTGTGATAGTGGAGCGCAATGGATACAAGTGGGTGGTCTCGAGATCACAGTATGATACCCAGTAGGAATAATAATAGTAGATTCGATCAATTGTACCACATAGTAGTAGCAATAGAGTAGTTGTAATCCGGAATAGGTTTTAAAATAGCTCTATGTCGTTTCATGCCAATGCCGGCACGAGTTAGTGGGCCATTGTGGATAACTGCCAAAAATTCTGCATTAGACTATGAAGATACGTGGAAGTGCGAATCTATCACTAGCGAAAATGGGTGTGAAGACACGTATCCACTGATTTCCAATAGTAAGTATCAATTCTTCCATATGCTTCCACGTCGAAGTAGAATATAAATTTTTCTTGCTATCTTCAACAGGTTTAAGCATAATATTTCGTGTAACGATTGCATGACTATCACTACTTCTGCTCTGACGTCTATTGACATGAATAATTTTAATCTTAACATGTCGTCGGCAACTAGTAGCGATAGTGAGACGCGTAACAATCTGTCAAAAGCGCTTATTTCAATCGTCATCTGTTGAACTAATTAATGGAAGTGTTGATGCCAAACTGTGAACGTTGATGATAAGCTAATGACTTTGCTATTTGGTAGAAGCAGCAGATCAATTACAAATGTATATGTACAAATATTTTTATTTGATAATATTAATTTATCCTAATTACAGTTTGTTTTCTTTTCAATTTGTCTAATGAATCGGCATAGCATTGTATGTTTATTTTAACAAAATATTGTTATTTACATAAGCATCACTCTGTTATTATGTGTGTCTATATTTCAACTCCTATCCAAATATAAATCAACAGAAATTGCTCATTTATCTACTACATTTACGGAGCCGACACCTCCCTCCATTCACGTCCGAGTTATAAATGTTTCTGCAAAGCCGTGATAAACGGGTGACTTGTTCAGTAGTGGGTATCCTATGATCAACATTTCTCATCCGCCCACTATGGTAAATATGCCATTCGGAACTATTTCATAACGTGCTAATTGATCGAAAAAGTAAAGGAGTTCTAGTGTACGAAAAGCGTTTTAAAGGGAGAGATAAAGATCAAACTGCTGTTTATTGAAGCCAGTCAAATTGTAATTATCTTCATCCGTTAAATTCATTATGTCATCAGAATTGAAGTGTTTTTCATTACTCATTATAATCATGACTTTTGAGAACAATCAGGGTTACAAAACGGCTAATTCAGTTTTTCTTACTTTCAAAACATCAACACAAGAAATCATTTTTAAGTTTAGGAAGTTTACATTTTTTTCGACTTTCGTCTATTTGACTTGGTTTTCTTCATTGAAGTTCTGAAATTATAGTTTAGGTATGATTTTGTAGAGTATTTCGCCGTGCATCTTTTAAAAAAAGCATCGAGTCTCAGAAACAAATCCAAACCAAGTTAGAATTTTTTGCAAATGATCGCGAACTTTTTGCTCAACCTAGTATGATGTAAACAACAACGTGCATCAGTAGGTACATAGACGTTTTTTGTAAAGAACGAGTATAACCGATCCTCTTCATTAACGGTTCTTGTTGCACCAGAAATCATGATGTTGCAAACACAACACATCGTAGAGAATGAGAAATGAATAACTTTATGAAGAAAAGATTATCAGTCTTTTAAAGAAAACTTGCATGAAATTAAGATGTCTCTTTCTAATGGGATGATATAGTACAGTACGGACAACTAGGAGATTAAAGTTATCCAGCAGCGTTTAAAATCAGAATCCAGGAGCGTTCTACTCTCAGTCGCTAATCAGTCCAATAAGAACTGTCATTTAGTAACATAGATCTAAGGATCTATGTTACTTTTCTATTTAATTATTCTTCACTTTCTCTCTCATGCCATTCTTTTATGTGCCAGCGTTTTCATTACTTCTATATGAAAATTTTAAATCATTTATTTATTAGACAATATATTCTAAAAATATCAAGAAATTTTCTTCAATAGTCACCATAAAATTTCTTCGTATGTCTTAGTTCAAAGGCTATTTATCGCATCATTAAAATCTGACTTTTTTCTGACAAAATTAATCTATATAATTTACGCAGGATGAACAATGAATTATGTTTATTTCAGTTTTGTTCAAGTGTATTTGACAAGAAAATCATTAGTGGGATGACGACTATTAATTTATATAAAATAAACCAACACATTGACACTTTTATGGGGGATTAAAATTATAAATAAAATTTCTCTTACTTTCGTTGAGCCAAAAACAGTATGGAAAAAAGATATAATAAATATGATTTTAAAAACTTTCATTTTATTGTGAAATTTTTTTCTGTACTAATTTTAATCTCGATCTTGGACTTTTTAAACGCATACTGGCATTACTAACTGTTGAATTTATTGATATTTTTTGCATCTGAACACTATAAATATGACAAATTTTACTTTATATCTTGATGACAATTATAAACAGTTATTCTATACATCTCTATACATCTTTAAACATGGTGCGAAAAAAAAGATTAACGACTCGACTCTTTCAAGAAAGAAAAAGAAAAAAAAACCTATGATATACGTAATACGTATAAATAATGCGTGCGCGCAAATATAGACTTTAAATTTTTGATATGTAGTAGGAATTTTTATTTGCTATGCATATGATGAGACCTGGATTTGTTCTTTCTTTTTTTCTAATACGTATAAGCTATGAATTTTTATGCGGAAGACAAATATAAATCTGATCATTGACGAAGCCCGTTGAATATCGTATTATCTAGTAATTGTATGTAAATATTGTTGTCTGTTAACGATTGAAAATAAACTATACAATAATATATAAAATGACGTCCATTGAAGGATTCAATACACTAGTTACTCATCTCGATATAGAAAATCAATTTATTAAAAAATTAACTAAAATTGACCTAAATAATAATAAAAAAAGATGGAAATCAAATTTGTTAAATTTATTAATCGATGGAAATGATAAACAAAAAAAAATTACGCATAATGAGGTATTTTGTATACATTTTTGGAACTATTAGGTATTATTTCTAAGACTTATTATAGGTCCAGTCTCAGAAAACATGACGTCAACAATTTTCTTCGTTCTGTAAATAAGGGTCATCAAACGCATTTATTTGTATTGTTTCTGTCAAAAGTAAAGATGATTTATATACATTACTCAGAGAGAAAATACAATGTATTATTTCTATCACTAAAGACAACTAGATCTCTAATTTATGGCATGACAGTATGCTATGTTAAACTTTTTAGAGTGTATGACAATCATTACTTTTGTCTTCTAGGCAAAAATCATATTTGTGGATAAAAGCCAACTGTATATTGTCAATGATAACATACCATTTGCTATACCACGATCGATCAATGATGTACGGGAATCAATGAAAAGTCGTCTCGAAAAATCGTTATTATCTATCAAGAGAAATGAAGAATATATTAACAATACAATCACTCATAATGATGATCATCAACAAGTTGACACATCTGTTGGTCTACTGGCATTGGCACAATCTGCACAAAAAATTGCTTTTCGAGAAATACTTAGCGTTGATGAATCTAGACTATCATCAATAACATTAGAAAACGATACAAAACAAAAAGAAAAATATGATCCCATAACAGATTTTAGTGATGCACAAGATTTGATTGAATTTGAAAATGTTTTAACGAAACATGGTGAAATATACACAGTTTTACCGCCGAGAAGGCCAATAGATATGCTTTACATGAAATTTTGTTGTCTATTTGAGATAAGTCGTGATTCAAATCAAAATTGTTTAAATATTCAATTACACGATATTATATTTAAATTTCAATTGACTGATTTTATTTTACATTGTGGATTACATATTCATAAACCAGTTGAACAGGAATTGATTCTTGAACGTAAAATACAAGGAATAAGCAAAAATACACAATGGGGAATGGAAATGAAGTTTGTATCATTTGATTGGATAGAAAATCAAGAAGTTGAATTGTATTTCATACTGAAAGTTGAATCATTACCAACGCTTACTAAAAAATTTATAAAAGGAACAAAATTTCACGATCAATGCCATCTTCATGTGAAAAATATACCTCATGAGTCAAGTAAAATATTTTTAAGAGAAATGATACCAGTTTGCAGAAGTAAAATGGTATGTACAGAATACATCATTCGTTACTTCAATATGTGCAGTACCTAAAAAAGAAGCATCTATTCCACCCTTTTAAAATAAATAAGAATATTTTTTTTATAATATCGAAGAATTAGACGTGAGATATTTCAAATCTCACGTCTAATTCTTCGAATAAGTTATGCGTAAGCGGTATAAATTATCTGATTTGTACTGTTTTTCTATTTTAGAGATCAAGAGGTTATAATGTTGGACAAATTGAATTTGAAGCCGTTCATTGGACAGAAAAAAACGAACTGTCTATTAAAATAATTAAAATAACGCATTCAAAAGCAGAGAAACTCCTACAAAAACCAGGTAAAGTACAATGAAAATTTATCAAATAGCACTTTGAGATGCTCTTTATTTGTCTAGAAACATATGTTGAAATTGTATTTCAAGATCCATTTTTAATTCGTGACATAAAACGTACAAAGCTAGCTGAACGTTCGTATAATCCAAATTTTGATGAAGAGTTTGTATTTCAATTACCAGAAAAAACGGCGATCAGTGATATAACAATTGATCTTGTTTTTATTGAAAAATCATCGTTACAACATACTTTAACACCTATTGGTACCTTGACACTTTCAAAACATACAGACTGGTATCCAGTTAGACATTTTTGGGCCAAAGTTGAACAAACCCCAAATATTAGACATAAAGACAAGTTTTTACTAGAAGGAAATGCTGCTGAATAAATTTTTATAGTAGATCGATCTTCCAATTGATAATTCCGTCCACTGTTTTTTTTCTCGTTATATTTAGAAAATATACATGATAACGGTAGAATTTAGATTTTTGACCGATAAAGTCAATCTTATCTGCATGGATATCCCATTGACAAAATGTAGACAATATAAGAACAAGATAAAATTAAACTATAGTCAACGTATTGACGGAGTATACGATATAATTCACTTTCAATAAAATTAAGTACAATCGTGATGTTTCGTTACTCCTAAATTACATTTACAGTCTCTTCATAAAACTTTATGGACAAAATAATATTTGTATATTAAAAAAATATATCTTATAAAAATGATAGAGTCCCTTACACTCTTAGCAAAACTAGAGAAATAAGATTTTGAGAAAAATTTATAAGTTTTCTTTTGTTGGTTGATAATCAGTTAATCGATCATCATCATCATCATCATCGATCGGGCTTCTTAGGCTTTTCAGACATAAAAGGCTCGGCAATTCGGTCCCAGGATGATTTGTTTTCGGCGTACCGCATAATCTCGTTGACAGAGAGCGTGCCACGGCCACCAAATCGGGCTATGTGCCCGGCCACCTGATCCGTGTACGTGTGTGTTTGTCTCTTTGGTCGATCGTCTTCAGCTGTTATTTTGTACTGGTAGAGCGCAAAAATGTTTGCTGGTTCATCGGGTGGTTTGTATTGGTTCTTTGGTTTCCAGCTCAAACAGTGTCCGACAAACTTGAGTTGACGGTGTCGGATCTCCTCGCTTATTTCATGCTGTCCGGCTAGTTTGTATAAATCATAGTTGGTCATATGAGCTTCGGACTGTTTTATGTTTAGCATGATTCTGTAACATATTCTCTGAAAGACGTCTAGCTTGTTTTTAAGGTCTTTTGATAGGACCCATGTTTCGCATCCATGAAGTAGAATGGAGATACAAGCTGCTTGAAATAGTCGCATTTTCATTGTAGTTGTTGTTTTCGATGATGTGAGAATGGGTCTTAGCTTTGCGAATGCTGACCAGGCTAAAGCTATGCGAGTTTTGACGTCCTTTTCCGTTGAGCACATGTACGAGCCAAGATATTTGGATTCATTAACCACTTCAATATTTTGATTATCAACTGATAGGTTGTAGTCGCTTGCTGCTGGTGCCGGATAATAACCAGCTGGTAAGTTTAAGCGCAGTTGCTCTGTCTTCTTCACATTTATTTCCAATCCAGTTTTTCTCGCATTTGAGTTGAACTCATTTAGCTGACTTTGCGAGTTGGCTGCGTCGTTTTCGAGTAGTGCGATGTCATCGGCGAAGGCTAGATCGTTTAACTTACGATCGATATTTGTTGTTTCTGATCGTAGGCTGCGATCTGTTTTCCGTGTGCTCTCGTGTGTCTTGAAACCGTATTCTTTAGCTGATAGTTTCGAGACGTAGTCTATCACTATGATGAACAGAAACGGTGCGAGAACGTCGCCTTGCAAGACGCCTGTTGTCACTCTGAATGGATTGGATAGTTGGCCATCAACATAGACTCTACTCTCTGAATTGTCGTACAAAACTCGAATTGCGCTCACAATCTTTTCTGGAATGCCGTAGTGTCTTAAAATGGCAAACATCATCTCTCTGTCAATCGAGTCGAAAGCTTTCTTAAAGTCGATAAAAGTAATGAAAAGCGGTATGTTTTCATTGTATGCTCCCTCCATTATTCTCCGCAAAATGTTGATTTGTTGTGTGCAGCTTCGACTTGTTCTAAAACCAGCTTGGTTTTTCTGCAAAATGCTGTCAATCGGCTTCCTTATGCGGTTAAGGAGTACTAAATTGTACACTTTAGCTACTATAGACATCAAACTTATGCCTCTGTAGTTGGTCATGAGCTGGAGATTGCCTTTCTTAGGTAGTGGTACGATAATGTTTGAAGTCCACTGGGTTGGAGCCTTGCATTCGTCGTATACTAGTTGACAGATAGTGTGTAGTTGGTCGCCTATGAATTTGCCGCCTTCTTTTAATGTTTCTGCAGTCATGGCGTAGTCGAGGCCGGGCGCTTTGTTCCTCTTTAGATTATTAATTGCTGTCTGAATCTCACTGCGCATTATCCTAGTAGTTGGGATCATAGGATTATTTGTTGTTGGTGATGGATAGTCATTCGAGTTTGCTCTGAGGTTGGTGTTGTTGAGCAGGCTGGAGAAATATTTGGCCCATTCTCCTAGCGTTTCGTTCTTATTACTCGGTATTTTTCCATCTAGATTGCGAACTGTGACCGGTTTCTTTGGTTGTTCAGACAGATAGCCTACAATTTGCCAGACTGTGCCATACTCTCGTCTTGTGGCCGCTAGATCGAGTTTATCGAGTTGGTGGTTTAGATCAGCTGTCTTGTCGTTTTCGTATGACTTGGATACTTGTTTCTGTAGCTGTATCCAGTTTGCTTTGTTAGCTGCTGATGGAGATTTCTTATGCTTAAGTTTAGCTTCCTCTTGTTTGTTTAGGAGTTCGAGTGTGGCGTTGCTGACCCATGCAGGTTGTTTCTTCTTTAAACGCTTTCCCAGAATGGCTTCGCTTGTCCCAATGAGAGCGGCGTTAAGTGCATTATATCTTACTTGAATCTCATTCGCTTTGCTACAGTTTAAAGCGAGTGATTCATCGAGTAATATGCTGAAACAATTTTTAAGTGCAATGTTAAAGTTGATGCGCGTCGCTGGGTCGAGTAGTTTTTGCGTGTTGAATTTACATCAGTTAATCGATAGTGAAATCGATCAATCGGTGATTTTAGAAAGGAGTGGTAATATTGAAGATTTTTGTTTGTATAGATTTTTATATTAATTTAAAATGTTTTTATTTTTAAATTTGTTGTATAACACACAAAACAGAAAGAAAATAGTATGGTGTTTTCAGATAGTAAAACAAATTTTCTCAATGATAGAGAGATCCTCTAGATTAGAAACAGTGATGGAGAAGCCGTTCAAAAGAACTTAAGGGTAAAAAACAAGGAATAATTTTGCAGTCAGGAACGCAGTCACCATCCTCCTGGTTTCAGAAAAGTCATTGTGTCTTTCGTCCTTCAAAGAAACATTTTTTTGGAAGAACCACCTCCTGCTTTAAGCTGCTAGCTACGCCCGTGTTTGTAGTTAAGAAAGGCAAAAGTCGATGTCTAGACTCATTGACAGTAGGACTTGTGATGAATTGAGAACTGCTTTAAAAATGGCATTCTTGTAACAGCAGATCGTCAGTCCCGATCAACTGACAAATTCCATTCAATTGTATTTTTGTGTTGTTAATCGTAATTGCAGTAACAATGTCGAGTAATCGCGAGATCAAAAACGATTAATCTGGGTAAACTCTTACGTAATCATGATTAATTCATTCTTATTGTTATCAATCGTGATCGATCGATGAGACCTATTTTTGCAAAAAAATCTGTAATTTCGTTTAAAACGCCATATATCGCTGTCTAAAAACGGGATTTAATCCTATAAAAAACTCAGTTTTGTAATCCGAATGTGATGAATCGCGAGCAAGCTGTAAACACAACTAAATCTGATATATTATAATATATCAGATTTAATTGCGGAAGTCAGGAATTCCTAACTTCCTATGAAACTTGATCTAAGTTTCAGATTGGATCAAATGATAAAAAAGCTGATCTTACTCAGTCTTGAACCAGAGTTTAACGCGATTTCTCGAGATAAAATCGTTATGACAATAATAAAGCGATCAATTGCGATTGCCAGTTAGTCGAAATTGATTGTGATCAAAGGAAGAAAAACGCTTCTATCACCAGTGTAATTTGCAAAAACAAAAAAAAAGGAAAAACGTTTCTATCGATCAATCGTTCATTTATCAACTTCATGAACTAATCAAAGATGTTATACGAGATAGAGAGTAGTCTTGATTTCTTTTCAAATCGTCGTTATTATGGGTCGTTTGGTCGACTATCAAAATAACGGTTAAGATAATCTAGAAGAGAAAGTTGCTGGAGGATAATTAGCTGTTTTTGTCGTCCATCGTTAACTTTTGACTTCTTTGAAATTTGATATAAAGTTATAAATTAAAGGCTGATTTGAGTAAATGTAATTAAATTTAACATTAGTTTAAGTGCTCCGCAGTTTAGAGACATAGCACTTCTATTGCTTTAGAACTTCATTGTTGGTCATTGAAATTCGGTGACTACTATGTTTTATCTGGTCAATTTTTCGCTGAGATGAAATAAAATTCATTCGAATCAAACTTTGTCATGATCATGAGTAATTATTTAATAAAGACTGTTTTGAGAGGAAACGTCGGTGTTCCTGAAATCTATCTTAGCGTTTCGTTATGAAAATATTTACAAATCACGTCTATTTCTTTGTCAACTTCCTGAGTCCACGAACACCAAAAAGCACAAGTTTCTAGGCTGAGACACGTCTCTTTGAAGAATGTTCATTTAGATAGTTGGGACCTCAGTTTCACCATGTTTTACCCGGTTTTTCATCAGAAACATGATGCAATCAAGCTACCTCGTTCACTTCAGGACCAGTTTGCGCCTGAGCTCAAACTACAAGCAATTTTATTTCTTCATCTTTCGCATACTGAAAAACGTCTCTTTGTTCACAGGAACTATGCTTATTTTTTTTTTGTACCTCTGCTTTATGGTTAGAATAGCCTGCAGATCGTCCATCACATTAGCAAATAAAAAGTTTTTTTTATTTGATCGGCTAATCAATCCATCACAGCTCATGGCGATTGGAGAGAAAACTGCGATTTCATGGCACACAACCGCAATTCTATTCTCCTCCAGCATTAAACCAATCAGCTTCGAGAATAAGCTAGAGAAGTGCTCTCCTCACTGAGTCGAAGCACAGTATCGCATCAGAGTCTATCACCAAAAAATGATGATACCATGCTTCAACCTCCTCACTCTTTCGAAATGTTACGGTAAATGTGTAACAATGTCATGCTAAAAGTGTTACTATGTTACGTTTCGCCGTAACATTTTAGAACAGTGCTCTAGCCTTTTCTTCTAACTGATCTTAATCCAAAATAACCACCCAAAAAAAAACTCGGGAGAAATGCTTTAAGTTTACTCAGCCATTAAAGTCGTTGATACTATAGTAGCACCCTTTTTTCATGTCACGGTACCTTATCATTCTGTAGAAATAGATTAACATTTATTTTTAATTTATATTAGAAATTAGATCATACCTAAAAAAACTGTTTTCCATAGCGTAAGACTTTTAAATATCTGTTTGATTATATCTCGTTTACATACGGCTATAAAACAGAATCAAATAAAGAGCGCGACGCGAGACAACGCTTTCTTTTAGACATTCTTCAAAAAGTTAACGTGGCAGTTGATGATGGTCGTACTAAATTATTTGTTTTATGCTGCTATTGATATTCATTTGAAATGCTAGTTGCGCATCTTTCGAGCTTTTTTCATTTGTTAGAAAGAGCTTTAGCAGATATTTTTTCGTCTTTTAGTTCTAGTCAAATATCTTATAGCTAATATTAAGAAATGTCACAAGATCTCGGATGTAGTTGAATTCTTACGCTGAATATTTTGTGAACACTCAAGATTAAATTCAATCAAGATCTTGAGTGAATTCGGGCAAGACGTTGAGTGAAATTTTTTACACATATTCTTGTCGCATATCACAACCATACACATCAGATATACGACATACGACAAATCTTATGCTTGAGAAAGGAAAATGTTCGCATGTAAACAAAGGTGTAAAAGGTGATTCAAGAACTACCAAATATAAGAGAAGTCAATAAATTTCCAGATTTTCAAAATTTCGACTTTTAACTTCTCGAATTTGTCCTTTCAAATTCAGGAAGTAAAGATTTTTGTTATAAAAAGTTTCACTACAAAGTTTGATTTTCTTTTAAGACTTTTTCGTAAAATGGACAATATGAAAGACGATGCAACGTCATCAAAACAATCACGTCGAAAAGAACCACCATTTTTGGTTTATCTTCGGTTTCGTCCATTTCTTATTGATGAAACAGCCAAAGGTGAAAATCAACGTACTGTTGAAATATTAAATGAAAAACGTGTTGGTATTAAAATTTATCCAACAATTGCTAGACAAATACGATCCGTACAATCGTCTTACAATGAATACGAGGTTACACGTGTTTTTAATGAAAACTGTACACAACAAGAGTTTTATACATCCACATTTGAAATACCGACAAATAAAGTTTTTGAAGGTTCAAATTGGTTATTATTTACAATGGGTTTATCGAATAGTGGTAAAACTCATACAATGTTTGGTACAGACGATCAACCAGGTATTATTCCTCAATGTTTCTCACAAATATTTCGCTATATTGGTTCAAATATTGACAATAATGTCGTATATAAACCGGCGGGGTTTGAAACATATGTCATGTGTAAAGAAACGGTCTTAGATCAAGAAATAACATCAAGAAATTATATATTTGAACAAGATCGAACAGATGTGGTGCGTGTAAACAGCTGATCATGAAAAAGAGCTATCAAGTGTTTCTTTTTGTTCTAGCGCAGAATGAAGTTACCAAAAATTGTTCAAAAACAAAGTTTAGATGACATATCACTGCAAGGTATTAAAGAATTATTTCATCATTGATATTTTTGTAAAAATATTCATTTGTTTTTAGACGAATATTATTCGGTGTGGATATCGTTTTTTGAATTGTATAATGAGCATATCTATGACTTATTAGTCCGACCGAATGAAATCAAATCACGCAAACCGTTACGTTTATTACAAAGTGATACAACTACAGCAATTCGTAATCTCATTCAGGTGCCCCTGTTCGATTTAGAAGAAGCAAAAGATGTTGTCAAATTTGGTTTTATTAATCGTTCAACGTCGAAAACAGTTTTTAATGAAGCCTCATCGCGTAGCCACGCAATATTGTGTATAACACTAATAACAACAGATGAATTTAGTGAACAACCAACAATGAGTCATTTGTACATATGTGATTTGGCTGGCAATGAACCGTCAACCCAACATATTGGTAAACAAATGAATGAAACATGTAACATTAACACGTCATTGATGACATTGAAAGATTGTATTCGTGTGCTGAATGAAAATCAAAAAGCAAAGTGCGTTCGTACGCAAGCTCAAAATCTTCTTCATGTCATGAGTTGTATTTAAGCGGGGCAAGAAGAGAGGGACAAGAAAGATTCTTTTTCGGAACACAGAGACTTTTGTGCGTCGACAAATCCCCTACTTTATTATCTTGTTTTAGAAAACAATTTATTGTACCGTTTCGTAACAGTGTGTTAACAACTATTTTTCGCCCATTTTTTTGTGGTGTTGGTCATATCTCAATCGTTGTTAATGTTAATCCATGTGCAAGTTTTACGTCGCAAACCAATGATCTTTTAAAGTTTGCTTCATTAGCACAAAAGGTAATGTCTCTCTTGTTTTAATTTTTCTTCTTTTATTTGTCTGTTTTGTTTCTTTTAGACCACAATTGTACAATGTGAACCAGTCATTGCCAAAGTGGCTTTAGCGCCATTGTCCTCTTCGTTCACAGCATTTAAACATACCAGATTGAAAAATCTCAAACGTTTAACAAATAGCAAAGTAATTCCAATACGTCGTAATAAAGCGGTTGCAAATGATAAAGAAGAGGGTATGTAAATGATGAGTAAATCGGATTCAGTTGAATTTACTACGTCTAATAAGTTTTTGTTCTTGTCTAGAATCAATGAGTGAACAAAATGATAAAAATTCAGTAAAAAACATTTCGATTTTCGTCGTTGTTATTTTTAGACCATTTCTTTATTTAGATTTTTTATTGGCGTAAAGCGACCGATACTGCATTAAAATTACTTCAAAAACAAGCAACATGGCGTCGATCATTTATGATTGAAAGACAGTAAGTTTTGGACTTGGAAAATATAGTGATTCAGAAGAATCCTGTAAGTGAGTTTGGGAATTTCTACAAATATATAAATTTCAGTAGAAAGAAAGAGTGTGTATAAGGAGTTTCCATCATTAACTTGTCTTGCACGTGTTTGTTTTAGTGAAGAACGTGTTAAACTCATTGGTGGTTTAATGTATCAACATGGTATAATCAAAAAGCTGGATGAAGATGTTTCATCGGTATGTATTTTATCGATATTTCTCCTCAACAGCCACAGACAAAACAAATTTTTTGGATGTCAAAGCGTGATATATAGTTATTGAAACTTTACGAACACTACATTCTTTTTGTTTCTTCGTTTGTAGCTGAATGAGCAACTTGTTTTTGCACAAGCAACTGAAGTTGCCCCACGTTCAGCCAAAAGTATTCGCTTGTTAATTGAGAAAAATGATGAATATTCAAAAAAACTCACTCAGCTTCAATATTCATATAATGAAGTATCAATACAAAAAGATGAAATAAAGGCAAATTATAAGTCATTGAAAGATCAATATGTGACGACGGGAAATAGATATAAAAATGAAATTGTTCAACATCTATCAAACGAATCAAAACTGACTAAACAAATAGATCAGTTGAACATCGAACATGAAAGAGAAATGGCACGTATGAAACGTGAATTAAATTTAGAAGTTTACCGTAAGCAAGATTTTGAAAAACGGTAATTTAACATTCTCTTCTTATTATCGTCATCAACAACTTGTACGTATTGGTTCATTAGACTTCGTGTTACAACCGAAAAGTTAGAAAGTCAAGTGTCTGAATTTGCTAAACAAATGAAGTTTACAGAACAAATACGTCAAGAGCATCAACAAACACTTGTCAAATGTGATAACTTACAAATAGAACTTTGTCGAGTAAGAAATGAAAATAATGAAGAAATAAAAGAATTAACGGATAAATACGAAGAACAAAAGAAATTATATTTAAAAATGTCAATTGACAAAGAAATGTGGAAACAGAAATATGAAATAATGGTAGCAAAAGTAGCTCAAATGGAAGCTGCAGCAACTGTACATTTGCCACTCGAAGATAATACAATAAGCATTCGTAGTCAATTAAAACGTCAAACAAATGAAATTGATTATGACGTAAGAATCTTTTGTTATTGTTATATTTTAATTATAAGACTATTTTCTTCTTTTGTAGGAAATTGATGTTAAAAGACCAAAACGATTAACACGTTCGAATTCAAGAAATAATTTAACAAGTGTTGGTGATGAAAGCGATAGTACCACGCATTTAGAAACAACAACATCGAGGAAGAAAATATCAAAACGTTTGAAAAAGAATTTTCAAACAAATGAGACAATAAATAGTCAGGTGAGAACATATTGTGTATTAGTTTCATCTTCGAGTTGCAAAAATAATTCATCACTTTTATATTCATCTGCCCTCATACATACTAAACTTTTTAAATAGAAAGAATTATTGCTATATTAATTTTTTACTTATACATTGTGTTCTATTTGAAGGTTCATGAAATTGATCGATTTTCAAAATTAGTAAAACAAATTCAAACCCAGAGTAAATGTCATATTGTTACTTGAACGTAGTATTCAATGATTATTTATTCTCTTCTAGTTGAACCAAGAACAAATAAGAAGACGATGATTGTTGTAGGTGGACGACAAAATAAACAGCAACAAAATGTATTGAACATTGATCACCAACATCATCCTCAAACTTCAAGTGCTATGAATTTTGAATCATCGTCAACAGAACATTTAACAGACGAAGTTGTACCAGTTGTGGTATATCATACTCCTAATAATTCTCCAATATTGACTAATCGTCAATGTACTCCCTCACTTGCAAGTAATTTATATGGTCATCCATATTCTGAACAGTCTCCTGCAACACCAAAACCATCATCAACATTTAAAGGACGATTAAAATCATTGTTTCACCATACACCATGTAAGATCACACAAAAAAAAATCTTCGAGAAATTTTTAACTTATTCTCTGTTTAGCATCTGTCGGTTCAATACGTACCAATCGTATTCAGTCAAAAACCGTAGTGGCCTTTGGTTCTTCCGCATCATCTTCTAAGGTAAGCAGTAGCTGATATGAAATATTTAATTTCTATTTATTATCTTTCTTAAGATATTACAACCCCTACGTAATACTCAAGCAACAGCACTACCGTCTCCACCGAAAGTTCAAACACCAAAAAATAAATATAATTTACGAAATCGATTTTTTTCACATCCAAATTATAATGATGATAGTGCTGGAGTAAGTGAAAAATTAGAATTTCTTGCCTAGAAAAATAGTAACACCGTCTTTATTTACAGGAAAAACCGGTTGTCAAAAAAGGAAAAGTTAGCCGAAAATAACGGAAAACATATGACATTAGTTTTAGTTGATTACGTTTTTCGGCAGTTTAGTCAAATAGAAAATTTTTTGTATGCTTAAGTTGAATTTGTGTGTTTTGCGTAATGTTAATACGTGTGTGTATTATTTTTTCTTTTTCATGTTAGAAATATTGTATTTGTCTAACAAAAGATACATACTCTTTTGTTGAAATATGAGTTTTTTTGTTGCACAGTTTATTCTCATTCTGTAATTATTTATGAGAACACTTTCTTTTTAATTTAACAAACGTGAATTATGGAAATTTTGACATTCTGACTGGTTTTTCTTGAACAGCAATAACAAGCACAATGACAAACTATAATTAATAGAAGATGTGATCGATTAGGAGCACTCATTATAAATTTCATGACAATGTATAAGTTCTGTTTATAATAGCTTTTATTGTATATCTTTAGGTTTTTTTCTCTGACAGCGGTCAGAAATTTTTAGATGGACTATATTTATTTATATTTATTCCATATTTCAATATTTATTTTTATTTAGATTACACTATTAATTGCTGTGACTAAGTCAGATAATAAAACAGATGTTATTGCTCCGGTTAGTTATGGCGTATTGCCATAATTGAAAATATCTGTAGAGTGGAAGATATTTGCAGAATAAACTAAACAACAACTCAATTGCGTCACAATAATAAGCCGATTGATTATAAACCGAAAAAATTCAGATGTTAAAGAACGGTCCCCTTACTGCGACAAACAATACGTACTTGCTATGTATCATGCATGACTATTATGATAACATGGCTTAGTCATAGAAAAATGTAGATAGATTTCATTTATAAAGATTTCCTACATCGTCTTGAAAGCTTTCTCTCCTGTCAGAAATATAATTTTTTTTTGTAAAAAGTTGATGTGGAGCTGAGTACATCACTGGATAACGTGATAGTGTCTGCTATCAAATTCTATAATGATCTGGGATTCATCAAAGAACGGGGGTAATTATCTGATGAAATCGACCCATACTTGAACTTCATTGACTAATCAAAGACTAGATGTAGAATGAAGAGGGGAATATTTCTAGGTACTTACCAGACCTTACAACCTCACTCTTAGAAAAAAATTGATCGAATCAGATTTGATTAAGTTTCTACTCCATCTGATATATATTATAGATCGTCTTTTAGGATTGTTCTCTAATTTCTCACGACTATTATATATATCATTCGAAAGCTCCTTTTCTTCACTATATTTCTATATATTACATATACGGAAATAGTCGTTCCGAGGCCAAGTATGTTTAGAAATACTTGTCTAATGAAAATGATCTTCTAAGTGCAAAAAGTTTCAGATATTCTATGACAAGCGTTCTCGTTTGACCACTACGGTAAATATACCATTTGATAGAGAATTTCTCGAGCTACGTATTTCTAGACATACACTTAGCCTCGGAACGGCTGTTTCCGCATATGTAATATATAGAAATATAGTGAAGAAAAGGAGCTTTCGAATGATATATATAATAGTCGTGAGAAATTAGAGAACAATCCTAAAAGACGATCTATAATATATATC